ACTTCTGGAGAAATTAAAAAAGAAATTCTTAGTATTATTGCAAATAAAGTTAGAAAGCATATTCGTAGTGAAGTGGGTGATTCATATTTTTGTGTCATGGTTGATGAGTCACGGGATGAGTCTAAAAAAGAGCAAATGGCGATAGTTTTGAGATTTGTTGATGTAGAAGGGATCATACGGGAAAGGTTCTTGGATTTGGTTCATGTTAGGGATACCTTATCATTAACCCTAAAAACAAATATGTAGAGACAACTTTTACACTATCAGTTTGATGTTAGTAAAATCTGTGGCCAAGGTTATGATGGTGCTAGTAATATGAGAGGGGAATGGAACGGTTACAAGCACTTGTGCTTAAGGAATGTCCTTATGCATATTATGTTCATGGCTTTGCTCACAGATTACAACTAGCCTTGGTAGCTGCTTCAAGGGAAATTATTCCTGTACACCAATTTTTCACAAACTTAATTTTTTTAATTAATGTAGTTTGTGCTTCCAGTAAGCGTCATGATGAGTTACAAAAGGCGAAGGCAACTGAGATTGAACAATTATTGGAACTAGGTGAAATCGAATCAGGCAAAGGATTGAATCAAGTTGGGACATTAAAAAGAGCTGGTGATACACGTTGGGGTTCTCATTTTCGTTCTGTTTGCAGTTTGGTTAACATGTATGATTGTACTCGTGTTGTTCTCCAGGGAATAACTGATGACGTATCTGCTACTTATTCTCAACGCGGAGATGCTGATGCAGCTTACTGTTTCCTAAAATCATTTGAGTTTGTTTTTATTCTTCACTTGATAAAGGAAGTAATGGGGAAAACTGATGTACTTTCTCAAGCTCTACAAAAGAAATCTCAAGATATTCTTAACGCCATGGAGTTAGTTTCAGCAACAAAGGAGAGCCTAAATGAATTCAGAAACAAGGGATGGGACTCTTTACTTGCACAGGTAAAGTTTTTTTTGTGAAAAACATCAAATAGATATGCCAGATATGAATGCTCCATATACTTCTACTCGATACCGGCCTCGAAAAACAGATAATCATGTTACTTTTGAACATTTTTATCGAGTGGATTTGTTTACAGCCACACTGGACAAACAGTTACATGAGTTGAATAGTAGATTCAATGATCAGGCGATGGAGCTATTAAGTCTTAGTTCTACTTTAGTTTCAAAAGAACACCCTAAAGTGATTAAAGTTGATCAAATTTGTCGTCTTGTTGAGAAGTATTATCCCGAAGATTTTACGGAGCAAGAGAGAATTCAATTAAGATATCAATTGGAGATTTTTAAATATTGATATGACAAAGAATCCCAAGCTTAGTGGTGTATCAACTATTGCTGACTTATGCAACGGTCTTGTGGAAACTCAGAAACGTGAGACGTATTATTTGCTTGATAGAGTGGTGCGATTAATCTTGACACTTCCAGTTTCTACCGCAACAACAGAGAGGGGATTTTCAGCAATGAAAATATTCAAGAACCGTCTTCGCAATACGATGTCGGATGACTTTTTCGCAAACAACTTGGTGGTTTACATAGAAAGAGAAATTGCTGAAAACATTGATTCGAAGTCGGTAATTGATGAATTCAAAGACCTTAAAGGTCGTCAGGCTGAGTTGTAATTCTTTTTCTAGTTATTTTTTGTGTTTATTTGCAAAAACAATTTGGTTTTTTTTTGTATGTAAGAACGTTAATTTTAGTTTATAATACTTTCGGCAAATCGCCCCCCCCACCCCCCCCCCTCCCCCCCCCCCCCCCCCCCCCCCCCCCAAAAAAAAAAAAAAAATTGTTCAAGCTCCGCCCCTGGCTCTCATGCAAAATCCCGTTTTCCATGGTAGAAGTAAGCATATCGACACCAGATATCACTTTATTCGAGATTGTGGTGAGAAGAAGCAGATTGAAGTGGAGCATGTAAGTGGAAAAGAACAAAAGGCGGACCCTTTAACAAAAGCTTTACCACGGTTGAAGTTCATGGAAATGAGAGACATGTTGGGAGTTGAAAGTATTGCAGGTTGAGCTCAGAATTAAGGGGGAGATGTGTTAGATTAATTCTGAAGTAACCGTTGAAGAGTTTAAAATAAAGTTGAACCGGTCAGTAGAGGATCAGGTCTTTAGGAGAATAAAGTGGCATGATGCCATTTTAGTAGAAGCACATGCAGTAGTAGCATGAAAGTAGCTAATCTGTTATCTGTTTTAGTATTTAAATCTTCCTTTGTAATTGGTTTCAAAATCCGTTTTTTCAATAAGAACCGGTGTGAACTTGTTGATCCAACAGGGACTCATCACCAACAAAACACACATAGAATGCCACATTAGACTTAGATATTCGCCAACACTAATGGCCCAATGCATTTGAGCAAAATATTTATCTCTACTCTTGTGTGAAATGTGGTTGCAAAACCACGAACCAATTGTAACCATGAAACATCTATCTTCAAGAAAATAAAACATAATATGTTAAAACACGTATGTAAATAAAATATGAGCCAATAATCACTATATAATGTTAGAGAAAAACAAATATATAGAGGTCCTACATGTTTCTTTCTACACCCTATTAGACAGACAAGAATGGGTCCCCTGTTAAATACATGACGTGAATAGTATATGGATGCCATGTGTCTATGCAATTTACAATATCTTGATTAGAATTTTAGTTTTTATGACACTTGAGCTTTATCGTTTGAGGCTTATATTATATGTATGTCTTGGTATTTTTCTGTGAAGCTTCTATCAATTCGTTCGGTGGTCCTGGTTGATCTTTTGTGGATAGCCTATATATGTACCACATTTTGGTTAACTTTTCTTCCAAACTCTTATATGAATTTGTTCTAATGTTTTTATTTTATGGATTTTATGTTACAGAAAAGTTTCAATACACCCTAAATGTATAAACTTTAATTAGACTATTCATAAACGAATAAGTAAGAACTCTTGATAATTTATTGCAGGTTTACAAACCACATCTTAAAAAATGTTTTTATAGCCTTTCTCATAATGCCCCGATTTGGAGGGCAAAAGATAAAAACTGTCTATATATATTATTGATAGTGTCTACTTTAATATATTTTGATATTCTTTATCATTGTCATCATACAAAAAAATTGTGTCATGAAACAAAGGAAAAAAGTATGATAAAAGGTCCTAACTAATTGATATAAAAAATTGTATACAAACATACAATAATATTTGCAAGGCCCATCCGAACTCATTTTAGGTCAACAACGTATGCAAAATTGCTTACACCGGTATTATTTTAGCGAGTGTTAGATTTTGAATCCTGAACTTTTCTATAGAAATACCATAACTCGACTATTAGAATCATATTACACGTGGATAAGTAATGAGAAATCTCAATCACAATAGTATTTAAAGAAAGAAGTAAAAAATATAAACAAATTTAACAGATAACTACGTTTTATAATAATTTTCGCTATATAAATAGAAAGTAATTATTTGTGATTTCAAAATGAAACACGTTCCAATTTCCAAAAGTACGTTGATTTAATCATTTATGGGCAAAACCCTTTTGAAACTGAAAATGGAATGCATTTCAACTCTTCCCAATTTTCGTGGATTATTTGGTGTTTAGAGAAAATTGTCATACAATTGTTTACTTTGATTTATAATAGGATCAATAAACTCAACATTAATTTAGTTAATTTCAAAATCCAAACCTAGCGTTGTCTTCTTTGTAATCCTCCCAACTCATAATGGTTGAATAGAGAAATTACATACAGAAAGTCAAATATTTAAACTTTGACGCATCCAAAATATTGATAGTATTCCACAACCCACCTCCCACGTGGACATTGTGACGGGTTGACTTGCACCTCTATCAAATGATCGATTCCCATTTTTTATTTATAATGTTTTCTAACATATTGGTGATTTTAATGTAAGCTTCTGTATTTCTAAAGAAATCAAAGAAACATGCATAAATTTAAGTTTTCAATCATTAAAGGTGCTCATATAATTGATTTATTCGATAGTAATCAATAAAATTATAAAGAATAATCATATAAATAAATGATCATATAACTATGAATAAATGATTATATATATATATATATATATATATATATATATATATATATATATATATATATATATATATAGGTTCATGCGAAAACATAAATATCTTGCGAAAACGCGAAAACAGATTTTATCTTATAAAAATCAAACACATGTATTATAAAAAAAATAAATTTATTAGCAATAAATTAAAAATAGTAAGTTTACATTGGATGGTGTTATAATAATATAGATTTAAATACGGTTTTAATAATTTTTTTTTCAAGTCCTTAATCATTTTTAAATTCATGTTTTCATAATAAAAATGTTAAAAATCATATTTTGAAAGAATTTCTCATCTATCATCGATTATCATCATGTATTTCAAAGTTTGGATGAATTATTTTCCAAAATATAATGTTGAGGTGACACAATATCATAGGTTTTTCTTGTTTTCGCCTTTTCGCAAATTATATATATATATATATATATATATATATATATATATATAATTGTTTTTTTGATTATATTTTCCTAGATAACGACAGGTTAAAAAAATTAAGAAAACAAAATTATTTATGAATAATCACAATTTCGATTTTTTGTGATTATTTTTCTAGTTGTAAACAAAATTGAATGTTCAACGAACTATTAGCTACGTGATAAGTTCGTTTATTTAATAAATGAATGAACAATATTTTTTTTATTCGTTTTGCTAAAGGAATGAACACGTACAATTATCTCGTATGTTTGTTTAAATTCATGAACGTTCGTTTATGTTTATGTTCGCTCGTTAATGTTTGTTTACGTTCGTTTGTGTTTGTGAGTATTCTTATTTTCATAAATCTTTTGTAGCAACATTTATTTAATGGCTTGTTCTAAATATTTTTATTCTTGATTTGAATGTTTATGTTCATTTATTTACATATTGTTCATGATCTTGAACTTTTAATAAGCAAACACCACTTAAACGGAGTTGTCCGGAGAATGAACTCCGGGAAGGTCGAATAAAAATGAATAGAATATGATAAAATATGAATCAACAAGTTAAATAAAAAAATTTATTCTTCCCAGATTATTGTTTGTTTTCTTACGACACGAGAATTCAATCCGGATTCTTGGATTTTTCCAACAAAATATCAATCCCGGTTTGAGTTCGGATAAGAATTATGATTCTAGTAAATAAAAAGTAACCTATCTTTTTCTAGCTCTAAGACTAGGAGTTCTACTGGTCGACTCGGTTCTTTCAAATTGTTTCTCATTATTAAGAAAAGGTAACAAATATATCTTTGTTACCTTTTCTTAATAATGAGAAACAATTTGAAAGAACCGAGTCGACCAGTAGAACTCCTAGTCTTAGAGCTAGAAAAAGATAAGTTACTTTTTATTAACTAGAATCATAATTCTCATCCGAGCTCAAACCGGGATTGATATTTTGTTGGAAAAATCCAAGAATCCGGATTGAATTCTCGTGTCGTAAGAAAACAAACAATAATCTGGGAAGAATAAATTTTTTTATTTAACTTGTTGATTCATATTTTATCATATTCTATTCATTTTTATTCGACCTTCCCGGAGTTCATTCTCCGGACAACTCCGTTTAAGTGGTGTTTGCTTATGTTTGTTTATTTATGATTGTTTATATTTCTTATCTTAATGAATATAAACAAAAGAAGCACTATATATGTTACATAAGAAACTACAATATAATTGAAGAGATAATTGTCTTGTCTTTCGCCATGACTACGTCATTTCCACGACAACTCATTAGGATATTTATGTTGTGTAGGAAAGAAACCAAAATATAATATAAAATTGACAAAGAACTACAAATAATGCAATTTAAGACAACACAAAGCTATAACAAAAAATTGAAAAACTCTACATCCACATGAAAGAAATGGACCATTTTTGAATCTCATTAACTCGGCCTTGACCCCATTGCCATGAAGACAAGAAAAGGGTGCACTCTTGACCCCATTGCCATGAATACATGCATGAGGTGCAACCCAGAATTCCAGGACCATCAAAATTCAAAAGAACGTTACAGTTATGGCCAACATAAGTCATAAATAACTCTTTTGAGGTCCTTAAATTTTCGTCAAGATCCATACTGAGCGAAGAAAGCTACAGCTAGCCTACAGGAAATCTAGGTCTTTATCTCTCTATCCACCTACACCCATATATCACTCAAAAATCTTTTCTTTTTCTAAAAAAAGATTAAAGATTACCCCTTTGTAGACCCCAGAAGATTTAAGCTTCCATTGGTTGAGAAGAACCCTATTAGGGTTACATTGTACAGGAGAATGTAATTGTGGTGGGATACAATCATACCACACTCAAGAGGTAATCACAGTATGAATCATGTTCATTGTTTTTTGTGACGAAAGCTTGAATTAGATGGGTTTCTTCTCGGTTTCCATTTATGATTCTTTTATGAATTTATGTTTCGTCATTCTCTTCCACAAAAAGCAATCAAAACTGGTATTTTTGGAGTTATTATCTTTGCGTCTAATACATGGAATCTAGGTGAAACTAATTTGGGGCATTGGGATTTGACAGAAACTATTTTGGGATTGTTTTATTCTTTTAAAATCCTTCTTTATCGGGTTAATTTTGATATCAAGAATCTTCTAAAATTGAAAATTTTGCCTTCTCTTCCTTAATTGTGCTCTGTTTTTATTGTTCATATGAACAGGTATCTTTTTCTGTGGGAGAAAAACCTTTTTTTGACTCAAAAATTCTATTCAAAAAGTATTTATAATCATAAAAACATGAGAGAAGAGTTCAGGTAATATCATAAAGTGAAAACAAGGACAGAAAAAGCTCAGTGATGAAGTTTATGAAACTTGGTTCTCGACCTGATACTTTCTACAATGCAAATGGTGTGAGGTAAGCATCAAAGCCATTTGTTCTCTGTTTTTCACCACTTTCAGTTAAAAACAGAACCATGTATCGCTACTCTGTTTTCGTATAAATTAATTGATTGCGATAAGATATTGATTTCATCGTTTGAATTCAGGTCAATCTCTTCAGAAGTTCGTAGCGATCTTGTTGTCCACGTGAATGAAACACGATATTTGCTTCACAAGGTGACTTTTCATCTATTTCATCACTTTTGAAGTTTGTTTTGTCATTTTTACCTTTTGATTACACAAAAGGGCTGTCGCTTTTATGCAAATTTCCCGATTCTTGTGTTTTTTAATACTGAGCTTTTACCTCTGTTTTTCCACCTTCAGTTTCCACTTCTGTCAAAATGCGTGAAGTTGCAGAGACTCTGTTCTGAGAACCCTGAATCCTCTCACCTTCATATAACCCAACTCCATGATTTCCCAGGAGGCAGCAAGGCTTTCGAGTTATGCGCAAAATTCTGCTATGGAATCACAATCACCATCAGTGCGTACAACATTGTATCTGCTCTATGTGCAGCCAAATACCTTCAAATGACCGAAGATGTTGAAAAGGGGAATCTAGTTCATAAGCTTGAAGTATTCTTCAACTCTTGTATTCTGAATGGCTGGAAAGATTGCATCGTAACTCTTCAAACCACAAAGCCATTCAAGTTACAGTCGGAGGAATTGGGTATTACAACCCGCTGTATCGAATCCGTGGTGTCAAAAGTCATTTCTAACCCTTCCAAGGTGAGCTTATCACATAGTCAAAACGGGGACAGAGAAGTCATTGATACAAACAAAAAGTGGTGGGGTGAGGATATTTCAGAGTTGAGGATCGATCTTTATTGGAGAACAATGGCAGCTCTCAAATCCGGAGGGAAAGTGCCTGCAAATCTTATAAGTGATGCTTTGAAAATTTACACTTCAAAATGGCTGCCAAAAATTTCAAGAAATCTTAAAATCGTGTCAAGTTCGAATGGTGAATCGGAATTGGAATCCTCGAAAGCAAATACTAGTAGATTGCTCTTGGAATCGATAATTACTTTACTCCCGATGGAAACCAATTCCGTTTCTTGTAGCTTTTTGCTCAAACTATTAAAAGCAGCCAATGTGCTTCAAGCTTCGGCTTCTTCAAGATTGGAATTAGCAAGAAGGGTTGCACTGCAATTAGATGAAGCTAAAGTTTGTGATTTGATGATTCCCTCTATATCCAACGATAGTGATACGATATACGATCTTGACATAGTTTTGAACATTTTGGAGCAGTTTATGTTACAAAAGCAAAGTCAAAAGACAAGTTCTCTAAGAACAAATGGCGATCGTGAGTGCCAGGAAAGCAGCCTATCTTCTTCTTCAACGATAAATGGTTCCATGGTCAAAGTCGCAAAGCTTGTAGATGGATATTTACAAGAGATTTCTAGAGATGTGAACGTGTCATTGTCGAAGTTCATTTCTTTGGGTGAATCGATTCCTGAACTCGCTAGACTGAATCATGACGATCTTTACAGAGCCATTGACGTGTATCTCAAGGTAATAAAATTATTTCTTGAATGAATTTCGACTTTTTATGATTTGAGTCAACTTTTACTCTTGATCAAAGTTTGACTTTTTGGTTATTTAGTCGCACCCAGACCTCACCAAGAGTGAAAGGAAGCATCTTTGTCGAACACTGGATTGCAAAAAGCTATCTTTTGAAGCATGCATGCATGCAGCACAAAATGAGTTTCTACCATTACGGGTGGTAGTACAGGTGCTATTCTTTGAACATGCACGTGCTGCCATGGCTAATGGGCACCTGACCGGGCTGCCCGGGAACATCAAGGCACTGTTAGCTGCTAAAGGCAATGGAACAAGCCCACATGGTTCAGAAACCGTAAGCACGAACATGAGCACACCTCAAGGAGATCACGAGCAGTGGGTCAAGCCAACAAAGTCAAGGATGAAACTAGCAGTAGATGAAAATCCTGATGATGGTTCTTCAAAGGTGAAACAGAGTTCATGTTTGGTTCCTAGACGGAGGATGTTTAGTAGGTTGTGGTTGATGAATCGTAGTGAAATCGAAAACAAAAGCAAAGCTGAAAAAGTTGTAAACTGTGAATAGGAGATTCGACTTGCATTGGTCTTTTGTGGCTTACTAAACGTTTTGATGCATTATATTAAAGTGTATTCGATGAATATATATACAAAATGATCTTGCAATATGAATGAGAATAATATCAAGTGAATGAGACTAAAAAGATGTATAAAGAATCACTCTTCTAAGTGTTAAAAGGTTGTTTAGATGTTTGCTTCTTATTTTTAAATCTTTGATGGCAATTGAGGGTTCAAAATGTGTTTGTTATTCCTATAAATGTGAATCATGCATGATGATCTTTACAGAGTCATTGACGTGTATCTCAAGGTAATAATAGAATTTCCTGAATTTTGACTTTTTATGATTTGAGTTTATGATGTTGAAACTTTGACTTCTTGGTTATTTAGTCGCACCCAGACCTCACCAAGAGTGAAAAGAAGCATCTTTGTGGGACACTCGATTGCAAAAATCTGTCTCTCGTAGCATGATCGGTCAAAACCAAGACCAAAAAGTATGAATGGACTAACCGTTTGATATGTTGTTGATCGGGTCCAGTAAACACTTTTAGCCTTGGTCTGGTCAGCTTGTTCGATATATGTTGAAATCGTTTAACCTGATAAGCATTGACCGGCTAATGGCCTGACTCGGTCTTAAAAGAAAATAGAGAAAATGACATTGTAGCACAACTAAGTTTTTGGTTTGTCTCGGATTGGTCATTGACGTTATTTTTTTTTTTTCACAATAGATCATTAAACTTGACATTTACCTATCAATTACATCACTTTCGAACTTATGAAACAGTCAACCGGTAAACTCGCTGACTTGGCATTCAATAAACATTTGTATTTAATTTTCTAAAGCCATATAGTTATTTCCACATATTATTTAATATCATATTTGTGACAACCGTCAAAATTGAGTCAAGTCAAAGTCAAACAAAGTCAACAAGTCAAACCGGTCAACTCCATTAACCCTTGTATGTTAAGGTTTACGTTGTACAATTCGCTATTTTAATGAGAAAACATCATTTGGAAAATTCATGTGTTTGATTTTCCTTAGCCTTAACAGTGTTAAACAACGAACCAAACCGATAAAACACTATTGCACAATTATCGGGGGCTGTGTAAGACTCTTAAACATGGCTTAACGGGGTTTACAAATATGACAATTGTAAAAATCTCATCATATTTACTATTTACTATTTACTATTTACTATTTACTACCTACTATTTACTATTTACGTTTTAAAAATTACTATTATTAGCCAATTAGTATTAACCATCTTCTAGAAACATTTGTCATGATTACATCATGAATATGTCATATACACTAACTAGTTATATGGAGAATGTCAACATTTAACACTTATTATTAAAGAATTATATATGAATAGTAATTCTTACTAGTATAAATACAAGGCTTAAGTCACTCATTTTCTACACCATTCTCTCTCAATTTCAAGACTTCCAAGGTTAATCATCAAGCTTTCTTCCACTCTTGGTTCTCGATTCGTCAAGGCATCTTCTAAGTGTTTTTGAATTGAACACTTCTCTTCTCCAACATTCATCCTCTAAGAACACATAAGGTGAGTTCATACCCCTACATTTACATGTTTTTCTTAAGTTCTAAGGGGGGAATACAAGTAAAATCATCAAGAACACAATTAAACTTTTTCTATCAGATTACATCAGAAAAGATGAACTTCGATCACGGACTGTTTTGGTCAACTTAAATATTTTAGTTTTCAAAACTGTTCCAGGTGCAAGTAGATCAAACTCTTAGCTTTAAAATGGTTACTTGCACATCTCCATATGATTTTTCTACAATTTATGGTGATTTTTACAAAACTGTCTGTCATTTCAGAGGCAAACCCGGACCAGTCTGTGATTATGAATATTTTCACCTCTGTTAGAGATCACTAAAAATCATGATAAAATTTAAGAACAAACTAGACTCATATTCCAAACTCTCAAAATTTGCGGATTTGGATTTAGAGCCTTGATGATTTTTCTATAAATTTTCTAAGAACAGTAACAGAAACTGTATTCAACGAAAAGTTGCTGTCAATTTCATTTCACCTTGTAACATGTTGAGCAAGGTGTATATCTTTATGTGATTATATGTTATTGCAATATATGACATTTTATCTTAATATTTAGACACACATCAGTTTACAAATGGATTTGGACATATAAAATATAAAGAATAACAAGTGATTATAATCAAAGTACAACCGATACATTCAAACATTTAATAAACTATTTTGAATATAGTTTGCATACATTACTACGTACTACCCTTGGTTGATAAACTATAATAGGTATAGTTTATGATACATTACATAACACATACATTTAAAAAGGGTACATTTATACAAAGGATATTTTCATTAAGCAAGGTACGGCCATACGGTACCAAGTTTTCATAACACGTAATTCCGTTAATGACTTTGTGAGACATTTACTTCAAATTACCATTAAGTCCTGTATTGTAACCAGAGTCTCCTTGAGGGAGAGCGTGATAGTTGTGTATAGATCTATATTGGGTTTGACAAACCCACACCTAAACTGCATGCAACAGTTAGACCGATAGGTCTGGGGTGACAAATGTCATAACATTTCCGACGCTTGAAGAACGTCGTTTTAGGCAACCTTGGTCATAGTATGGTTATAATAAACTCACATAAAGTATTAATAAACATTGGAATTTACGGGAACTTCATTAAAATTTAACGAGTTTATGTCGATTTAAACTTGCATTGTTTTACTATAAATATGACAAATTACTTGTACATTTCGGTCTTTGGGTTTTAAGACTACATTTACACATTAAGGAAAATATTGGATTTTCTAACACAAACACTACTTTTACAAACGAAAGGCTTTTAATAATACCAAACAAAAGCTTCTGAACTCACCAACCTTTGTGTTGACACTTTTTCAAACAACTTGTATTCTCAGGAAATCATTAAACAGGTAACCAAGTGCTTTTGAGGATGGGGCGCTAAGGCGTCTACTATTTCATATTTTGTCAACATATTGTAATTGATTCATAAACATGTAATTCATACAATGATGTCACTTTTTCAATTATATATATGTTGGTTGTGTTTGCTTCAATTACTATTACAATTGTTGTTATGATACTATACATGAAGTCATCCACCCCCGGACGTTTCCGCCATCCTTGGTTTGGGGGTGTGACAATATTGGTATTCATCTATGGACAAAAATGAGTTTTTTGCAAATATGGGGCAGTTTTGGATTTGGTTTGTAAAAGTAGGGCATTTTAAAACTGATTTGTAAAAGTAGGGTCTGGCCCCACCAATGAATTCTTGGGAGAATTTCATATATGCCCTTCTTAAACATCAAAATATCATATTTACTCAACTTAATTTCTAAATATCATATTTACCCTTCATAAAATTTATAAATATCATATTTACCCTTCATAAAATTTTAAAATATCATATATGTCCTTTTTAAACATCAAAATATCATATATGCCCTTTTTAAATATCATATATGTACTTTTTAAACATCAAAATATCAATGGTAATATTTAAAATATCCTCCATCGACAACATGATAATAATCAACAACAACAAAAACTAAACAATCAAAATATACATTCTATAGAGAGGGTTGAAGATGAATCTTTTTGTTTGTCAAAAGGGCGACATACCAACAATTTAGAAGTTCAAATTTCATTATCAAAGACGTAAGGATAATATGGTTAAAATTTTGAATTATTATAATAATTCTAAGGTATAAAAAATGATTATAAAATATTTAAAACATTATAAAAAAGGATTTGGGTAAATATGATATTTTGAAGGTTTATGAAGGGTAAATATGATATTGAGAAATTAAGCTGGGCAAATATGATATTTTGAAGTTTAAGAGGGGCATATATAAAATTCTTCCTTGTATATTTACGTTGAACCTCTTCACAGTTACATTTATAGCCCTTAAACTTATAGGATGTATTATTATTACTCTCTTTTTTATTCACGTTTCTATTTTATACACTTTTGATAGCTTATTTTATTTCCTTATTTTTATTAGTTTATTTTAGATTTTTAGCTCTTTTTATTAGTATTGCATTGTATATTCTTTATTTTCTTTAGTTTGGATCCTACCGGGTGCTTTTTATGTTGCATGAGGAATTTTGCAGAGTTTTGGAGCTTATTGCGATTGTGGATTAGAGTGAAGACGGACTTGTGGGCTCTCGAGGCGCTATTGGGCTTGGCGGATCCACCAAAGGAGATTTGGGCTTAAAAAGATAAAGGCTTGGATGAAGTGGGCTTGTGAAGATGGATCATGGATAATTAATTTTGGGTTTGGAGCATCCACATTTGAAGATAAAAGATGATTGGCTGATTTGAATTACATGGATATGGAGGGGACCAAAGGAATCTTTGGTAGTGGAAGGGTGGAGTGGTGGAATGAAGGACCAATAGCATAACAGCAACATTTACGCGGGTGGAATTTTCGTCGCGCGGGTACCCGTGCAACTGCCCAGTTTAGGCATTTTGGTCATTTAGCTCACCATAACCTTGGGGGATCAGATCTAGCAGTCATAACTTCGATTTTACACCATTGGAGACCTGTAGGAGGCGATTTTTGAAGCTCAAGACTCATTTCTCTTCATCTTTCCAAGATTTTTGGTAGTTTCTTTATGCAATTAGACTTTTGTGATTGTTGTTCCATTGCCATGAGTGGCTAAACTCTTTATATTTGTTAACTTTGGTTAAAACCTTTGAATGTTTGTGGGCTTTTGAAGGATTCATGCTAGATTATCAATTATCTTATGTTTATGGTTCTAGATCATATTTCTTATGCTTGTTTAATGCTTTGATCATGAGCTTGGTACTTGAATGAGCTATTGTTAGTTTATTTCTTTGATTTTGCATTGAATCATTGAATTAACTTAGAACAAGGACTTTATGATGGTAAAAATCATCTCTAGTCTATGAATCATAGCTCCTTTATGGATGTGTAAGCATTGACATCCTCTAGGAATTGGGGATTCCTTCTTTCTTAAGGCTAATTAACTTCTTGGGTCAAATTGCTTCAATTAAACCCTTGATCTTGATTAAGAAGGTGTGTTGTGGGCTTCCCCAACCTCCATACTACCT